GAGCCCCGCAGGTGAGCCCGGCCCCGGGGCGGGTCGGCGCGGCTGCTCCTCCGGGAACAGCCCGGCTTGGTCACCTGTCCAGCCCCTTGGGAAAGGGGCACCGCACAGCCCGAGCTTTGCTCCTTCAGCAGAGTTTGGTTACCTAGAGCCCTGAAGGATAAATGTGACCTTCACTTGCGTGTGTAATCCCACATTGTGTGTAGGTCAGGGGTGCACTGAAGCCCATCCTGCTAACCCTGTGCAAGGTGCCAGGTTAACAAAGCTGAGTGCCCCAGGCTGCTTTTCCCCTGGCACGTGCAGGCAGGCACAGCTGTGCACTGCTGGGGTGGGGGTTTTAACAAAGTCAGCAAGAACTTTTGGATTCTTACCTGCATGAGCACATTCAGTCATGAACACCTGAGCACTTTGCCTCAGGAACCCCAGAAGTGTGTTTTCCTCAGAGCACGGCTGTGAGAGCTGGAGCTGGTTCTGCAGAGGGGCTGAGGAGGGGTCTCCTGGCTCCTCTGCAGAGCCCCAGTCCTTCTGGGGCTGCTTTCTGTCCCTGCTCTGCTGCCTCGAGTGAAACTCGTAGGCATTTCACAGCAGGTAGAGTGGCAAAGCACACAGGGCTGGGTTCACCCCTTCTTCTGGTGGCTCTGATCAGGTTGTCTCATGCTAACACAGCATGAGGACTCTGCCAGCTCCAGCACGGCAGCTGGAAGCCATCCGTGCCATTTTCATTTGAAAAGTAAAAATAAGTCAGAAACACACACACATCACCAGTCAAAGGTCCCAGAAAGAATCAGAAGGACAAAGATTAGAGGTCCAGATCTCCCTACACACTCTCTGTTCACAACATGACTCAAAAAACAAAATTGGAAATCTTTTTTTCAGAACACTACTTGCCTTTCGAGGACAGACTAAAGCTGTACAGAAACTTGTGCAATAACCTAATTTTCCACTTCAATGAGCAGTTTTTAAATGTATTGATATATATTTTAAAACTGCTTTTCAGAGATTGTTTCCTTGCCTTCTGCAAAGGATATTAGTTATTAAAGCTTATTGGTAATTAAAGCTTCTTAGTTGCTCATTGTTGCTCAGTTGTCATTAAAAAAACAACACACAAACAAAAACCAATCCAGCCTTTTACAGTTTTGATTAAAATGCCATTTGTTTTAAAACACACTAATTCCTCCCTGCTTTCTGCTCCTGTTCATGACAGGTAGGACTGAGGAAAAGCCACGCAAAGCATAAGGAAGAGGGAACCTGTTTCCTAGGGAGCAAGAGACAGTTGGCACCGAACCACTCCCAGCCCAAGTGCCTGCAAAGTGTGATGAAGGAAGTGGAGCTCCTCAGGAGCTCCAGGGATGGGCAAATTGAAGAGGCAATCAGGTTCAATCAAGAGCTGGAACGAGAGCTGAAGAGCTCTCAGGAAGCCCTGGTCAATCTGGAAGACTGCAACCGTAACCTGAAGAGGGAACAAGCAGAAATGAGGAAGAAGGTGGAAGAGGCAAGACACGCCGTCCTGAGCAGCCTTGGCAAGGTGAAGGAGCTGGAAGTGAAGGCCACCCAGGTGCCACATCTGCACACCTACATCCAGCAGCTGGAGTCGGAACTGCAGCGCTGGAGGTAAGTTTGGGTCCATCACTGGTGCCTATAAAATCACAGGATTGCATCACAAGCTTGGCAATCACTGGCTGTAGCTTATTGAATGTCTCCACATGCATCTTCTAAAACAGGGCCAGAGGGACATTAGAAGGGACTTATCTAGTTTCTTGGTAGGGATCCTTAACAGAACAGTCAGGGGCAGGTAGGTCAAAATAAGGATGCTGATGTACAGAGAGCTGAAGTTACTCCAACACACAGCAACAGGGCTCAGTGTAGTAACACTTCAAGATAGCCTCAAAATAAATGGGTGACAGTCTTCAAGAATCTGTTTCCAACACCTGTTTTTTCACCTGAACTAATACCAGTTCAGGCATTTCCTGCTAGTTCAGTCACACGTGCCAAGCATGATGCTCCTTTTCTTAGGAAAGCTCTTCAACTTTTCAGGGCCATTGGAGGAAAACACACAAGGGCAACTTCTGGGCAGCAGTGTTCAACTCTGCTGTGACTTTATTACTTCTTCACTGACAGAAAATGGCCTACTCCAGAAAAGATATGTTAAAACCACTTCCTAAACCCACACAGTGGGAGTCTCAAACAAAAAATGCACCATCCAACTAAAACCCACCTTTGTCACAGGATACATAAACCTGTTTCCAAACCTTAGAAAGTTGGTCACAAATTTAACAGTTCACTGCTTTTGTTTCTTTTTTATCCTAAGCACAACTTGTACTCACTGATGGTTATTAAGTCCTAGGCAATTCTGCCCAAGTTTCAAACTGACCTATGGAATAAAATGTTTACATTTTTACTGCTCCAAGCAAAGTTAATATTTAACATTTTTTCCTAACTGTACTAAAACTATATTGTCTGTTCTGAACTCCTTTTCTCTTCCTAAACTTACACTTCCTCTGTTTGCTTATAAGAAGAATTTGTAGTGAGTTATTTGTAGCATCACAGCTATTGTACTGTTTTATGAAGTGAGGAAATTCTAAAAATAGTCATCCGGTGTATTCCTGCAAGGGCTGTGTATGTTAATACCTGTGTGGCTGCAAAAGATAAAGGCCTTTATTTAAACATCTATAGGATTTTAAAAACACGGGGAGGGCACAGAATGTCCAAGATGATTGTCATGTACAGGGATGTCTGGCTGAACTCATAGGGCTGAGAGAATTCACGCCACTTGTCTAGTCTGTCAAGTTCTTCCTGGCATGTGTGGCTGCAAAAGATAAAGGCCTTTATTTAAACATCTATAGGATTTTAAAAACACGGGGAGGGCACAGAATGTCCAAGATGATTGTCATGTACAGGGATGTCTGGCTGAACTCATAGGGCTGAGAGAATTCACACCACTTGTCTAGTCTGTCAAGTTCTTCCTGGCATGAGCACCAGAGACTTGAGATGAATTCTTCTTCTTCTGCAGAATTGCTTTTCCAAAGTATGATGAAGCATCAAAATCTCCTTTAAATGGGTAGGGAACTAGTTAAAGACAATAAATGGCAACTGGGCCTTGCAGAACCGGAACTTTTACGGGTTATATCAAAACAAACAGTATGACTTTTAAAACATGTACATTTATAAATTCTTTGTAAGATAATCTTCATCTGTACTATTTACCTTTAAAATTGCATGCTAATTTGAAGTGAGTGTGAAGCTCAGGTAGGGCACCATTGGGAAACAACCCCCCTTTTTTGAGCTCCATGGCACATTTAGCAGAGGACCAGGCCAGGTTCTACATGCAAGACGCTTGCTGGGCTTTGATCTGGTGTTGGCCATAAAGCACTAGTGACCATCCTTGCATGCCTGTGGTCACATTCCACAGTAGATGGATCCACATCTTGCCAAGTGTGGCACGGAGATGCCCCAGCTAGCAGGGATCAGGCTTGCAGAGCAGCTCAGAGCTCTGTGGTACCACAGCAAGGAGCTGAACAGCAGCTCGGCTGTCGCTGCCCTTCGCATTGCGCCTCAAACCCCTGCTCACACCTCTGCTACTGCTGGCAAAAACTACTTCTGCTCACAGAGCATCACCTTCTCCTTTTGTGCAGAAGTCCATGGGTGTAGTTTGGGGTGCTAGGAACTCCGTGCTGAGGGGAAGCTGAGTTGGCCAAAGTGCAGGGGTGCAGGGACAGCTGCTGCGTCCCACAGGTTCCTCACGCGGCCAACGGGCAGGGGCATCGCTTTTCCTGTTAGGTAAGTCAGCTTGTGTTCAAGTTCTACTCCAGTCAGCACTGTTCTCCAGTTCACAGAAAGCTGGTGAGCATGTAAGCAGGACCCAGGTCTGGCAAGAACTAATGGTGCAGGGTGGAAGTGGGGAGGAGTGGAGAGGGATTTGCTGCAGAGGGCACTGAAGATTGCAGGTGTGTCTCCTGAGAACCTGGCCTGGCTTGGAATGGCACTGCTGAACTCCAGCCAGAGGCTTCCAGAGAGGATCATATTCAAGAATGAGACCAGTCTGTGAGCTGTACATGCTGCTCCTATTTATACTTCCTTATTTTTAGAGGAAATAATAGAATTCTGTCTTTTAGGTTCCGATTTTCAAAGCTCTTTAGGCCTCTAACTCCCACTTCTACACCTTCATCTTGTGCCACATTGCTGTCATTGAGACTTGGAATCACAACAGAGACCATAAATGATAATCACTAACTCAGGAGTCAACATCAGTTGCATCTAGTCAGGAAAGTGTTTAAAAGTACCTGAAAGTGATTAAATCTTTACCTAAATTGAGGTACCTAATTACAGTTGCCTTTTCTGTCCGATTCCTGCAAATTTAATGCTAAATGTTGCTATCAGCACCTCTGGGAAATCTTTGCTAGCTGAAGTTGTGTGACTTCAACTTTTTCTAAGCACAGGTTCTTGTATCAGGGTTTGAAATGTCCCTATCATGTTATCAGGTTCCTAAGCCAACCTAGTTGACCAAATAGTGTGTGGATAGTTCTTGCCTTGAGGTGCACACCCTCTTCTGTGGCAGGTTCTTCTCCCCTTTCTCCACCATTAGAAATCTGGACTGTCTTTTATTTTCTAATCCCTTTCAATGTAATGAGTCAACTCAGATACTTGAAAGGTAAATTTCAAGAAATTTCTTACTGAAAAGCATGACTGAAATTCATTTCAGAGGAAAAAGATGTTTCAGGAAATTGTATGTTTATCATTAATCATTAATATGATAAATACAATTCACAGTGTCAGTGTAGAGAAGACTTGAGGAAGTTAATGCAGGTCCCATTTTTGAAGCAGTGCTGGAGCACTTGGCTTCATTTTCTCAGGCATGGCACTTATCATTTGTTATTACTGAAGCTCAACTTCCCAATTTTTGGACTACTCTTCCAGTTTCTCAAGATTATATTGGGACTAACCTCCAAGGTGCTGCCATTCCACATTTGTCCTTTCTTCTTCTAGAGTTGGAAGCCTAAACAAGCACACTTTGCTGGGTCTCAGGACAGATTCTGGTGCCCTCCACTTGACACACTCAGAGTGCAGCATGAACAGCTATTCCCTGACCTCCCTTTTTTCTTAAGTTTGGCTCTAGCTCAAGCTGACACCATCCATGTATTCTAATATAGTCCTATGATTTCTAAATATTGCTTCTAAGAATGCCACATATAAAAATGTTACTACAACACAAGTGTCACATCTACTGCTTCTCTTCATCCATTCAGCCATTTTCCCTGTCAAAGGAGGAAATGAGATTGGTTTGATGGGAATTGTTCTTGCCAAATATAAGTGGGCTCTGTTTGCTGTATGATGTTGTAGGTGGCTTAGAAATTGATTACTTAATAAAGTTTACAGATTTTTTTCTCTCTTCAGTAGCACTGGAGCGAGTAACAGAATTTAACAACCTTTCCTTGATCCCAGTGTAACAAATAAAAAGAAAGGTCATTTAGAATTGAAGTCGACTTCATAATGGAGATGTTCACAGAGTTTTTATGGTGCTGTGCTAGCCAGCAGCACAGTAATTACATAGGTCAGTGAAAGGGGCCATAAAATACCAAAATCGTTTCCCATATGCATGGTCTGTCTCCCAAATTACTTAATTATCCATCAGCATTTATAAGTGTTAATGAGTAGGAATCCTTTTTTACACAGACTTGTTTCATCCCCTCATATTCTCTTATAAATGTGAAGATGGAGGCCTCGAGCATAATCTTCTCTATTTATGTCTTTCATAAAGTCACCAGTGTTAACTTCCATAAAAAGTTGTTCTTTTAGCTTATCCTGTATTGGAACTAGTTCAGGTTTTTGTTTTTGTGGGTTTTTTGAGAATGTCCAGATCTTTTCAATACCTTCTCAGGTTATCATTTGCTCTGTAAAATATAACCAGATGGGCCAAACAGATCCAAATCAAGAATCCAAGAACAGGAGAGGAATATGGAAATATTCCTAACTGATCCAGAGCTGGTTCTGCAAGGTGAAGAAAGGAAAGCCCTAGGCAGGAAAGACTAATCCACAAAAGAAGGTTATTTCCAATCTGAATGAAAATGCACATTGTATATTTAGGCATTCTGGAACTATTCTCCTCTTCAAAAATTAGACTAACTAAAGGAATGGCATTCTGGAACTATTCTCCTCTTCAAAAATCAGACATTAACTAAAGTCTGGACAACTTGCTGCTTGACTAGTGTCATCAACATCAATGACTTGCTGGTTGCAACGTAAAGTGCACCTGGGCAATTTATTTCACATGGCACAACATTTGCATGGGGCTTGTGGGTGTCTCTGTGCTGGGCTGCTCAAAAAGCTGGACAGAACCACAGAAGGGAAGGACATCCCTGGACAAGACATGGCCAGGCAGGAAGCTGAGCTCAGGGAGGGTGAAACAAAATACTACTTTGCAGATCTTTGTCTGCAGGAACCCTCAAGCACATTGCTCTAGATGAACTGTTGTAATTTTATTTTTCTAATTTTACTTATATCAAATATTTTCTTCTACTTAAGACTGTAAGAAGTTGTACATTATGTAGAAGTCTGCCCCAAACCCCAGAACTTTAAGTTTTTCAAGAAGTAAATATGTTCCCATCAAATGACAC